AAACCCTGTACAGGGTCGCTATGAGTTGGAAGCAACTACATGGCACATAACCACCACCAATGAAGTGCCACTGTTATAACTGCTGTAGTCAGAAAATGAAATAAAATGTACAGATTTGAAAAGCGGTAAAATTATTTTTTGCTCTTCACATCCTTCTGATGTTTTTATCTGGCCTACTGTTTAACCATTCTTAAGCCAGCCCTACCTGGGTTTTCCAGGATTTTTTTCTCCAGATGCACCGCTCGTCTTTGCAATTCCTCTGGTTCTACAGGTAAATGTCGGCTCCACAGATAATTGGTCAGTGCTTGCACTTGCTTCTCCACATTGGACGCTGAGCTTTCTATGAGTCAAAGACGAAAAGCGGCATCACTTGCCTGCGGGTCCTGTCCCAAGCCTCCCTTTCCCGTTACTTACCCAGCAACAGTAACTGCGCGGCATTAGCCAGGGCCGGGGGCAGTCGCACATGAGGGAGCTTCAGGATGCCGGGGTGCTGGCGATGGGGCTTCTTCCCCAGAAAATCGGACTTGTTATCTACCTGGGAGACGCCGGGTACAAGGACGGCGAGCGCCTGCAGGTCGGGAAAGAAGAGCTGATTGCCAGAAAGGGAAGATTACGGGTGCTAGCGACGGGAGATCGTGCCTCTTCCGGGCAGGAAGTGTTCTCTAAAGGTCCAGGGCCTCTCTGAGAACAGGGAAAGCAGGCGCTCACCCGGGACTGCGGTACTACTCCTCTGTCCCGGTGCCATCTGCCTAAATTCACCAGGAGTCGGAGTCCGCTCGCGGTCGCCATGGATGCGGAGATGCACCGGAAAAGGAAATGCAAGCATCTGTGACCCTTAGTCTTACACCGCAGCTGCAAGCGGAACTTTGAACGCAGACAGTATTAGCCAATGAGAAGAGCGAATGATTGTTGGTCTCCAATAAACGATAAGTAAACCGTCTGGGGCGGGAACTTTTGCGTGAACTGTACTTGGGAGGTGGGTCAGATGAAACTAGCAGAAAGCTCAAGTGTCTGTGAGTCAGGCTGGTTTTCAGGGCAGGGGGTTTGATTTTTTTGTGATAATACAGCATATTGTTGGCACTTTAAATACAAGTTAATTAAGAACAATGCACTTGTTTTTTCATAAGTGTTAGCATATAATATTAAAAAGAACTCTCAGTGTTGTGAACCCTTGATTCTTACAGCAAACACTTTAGTCAATTCAGATGTGCCTCTAATCTTTTGGGTTAAAAATTTGATGACAGCATGGGCAGAAATACTTTCTGTTCAAAAACTGCAAGAGTTCATATTTTAATGATTATGGGACAAAAAAATGAAAGACTACATCAGTTGAAATATTAAATGTCTGATTTGCATTTATGTCATTAACTTTTGATTCTAATCAAGGAGGCCTTTTCATTATCATCTAAATACTGGAAGGAGATAAGGGCTATTTAACATAGCTGTACAAGTGTCTCACTCACTGCTCTCCTCTCTTTCAATTCACTTTCCTTTTGGTGTTTTTTCCAGCTCCTCCCTTCACTCTGATTTCCATTGCCACATTTAGCCTCATCTTTTTTTTTTTTTTAATTGTTGCTTTTGTATTTTTGTGTTGGCATAAAATAATGAATTTATCACGTAATGATGAAAGAACAAGTACGTCTGTCTTGGAAGAACAACCAGAATGCTTCTTATGAATCCCGATGGGGGAAACTTTGTGTCACATACTTTGTACATGTTATATCAAGAGCGACCTGGTCCTGGAGAAGGACAAGTGCATGGAAAAGTAGTTGGTCAGTAACACCAGAAACAGAACCACAAGATGGACTGACACAGTGATAGCAAACATCACACCCGTTGTGAGAAAGGCACAGGACCACCAGGCAGTGGTTTCTATGGCTGTACCCCGGGTTGCCATGAGTGGGATCCGCCTTGATGGCACATGACAACAGTTATTATAATGACAGTGTGAATCAATTAGTCCAGTTAACAATAGAGACCTAATCTATGATTCAGTTCTTTTTCACAGGGCACATCATCAGTTGCACATTCAACAATTCATATAACTTGTTTCATTACATTGATTATAATCC